CAGATAGGGCTGTGGTTACACTTGGAAGGTGGAGCCATCAGGAGGAACTGACAGATCAGATGTAGGTGAGAGGCCAACTCCAGCATTTGTGGATAAGCACCAGGAGGATAGGGAAGTGGTGAGGAAAGATAAGGAGCTCCCGGGGCCAAGATGTGTGTGAGTTGCCTGTGATTTACTACATGGAGGGTACTGTGACACCCGAACTCAGGAGGCGGGGCCCATGGGGAAACTCAGGTAGTAGGGAGGGATTCGGGCCTCTCAGGGCCTAGTATCTTCCTCAATTAAATAAAGACAATTGTCCTGCCACCCTGGCAGCTGGGAGCCTGCTGGAGGGAGCACATGCCCATCATGGAGTAGGCCTGCAGCAAAACTCCCCCAACCTGCCACCTTTTCTTTCTTGTTCCCTCGTCTCTGACACCTTCCCCAAATCCCAGCTTCCTTGGATCCCACCTGTATGCCCTAACCCTGAGGTCATGACCCCCATGTAGTTCATGGGAAATCCCAGTGATCCTTACTGCCACTGTCATTCATCCTCTTTCAATGGGACATTCTGAGTCCAGAGGACCAAAGTCACAAACAGCAAATCCACGGCAAAGTGACAATCACATGTGATCGCAAAGACAAAATCACCCACAGGGATGAGGCAATCCACTGTACAGGTACTCACCCACACAAATACCCTCAGACATTATCACAACCATATATATGTCCACACTCACGAAGACAAATATCCATAGAAACACAGATGGCAAAGCTTAGGCACTTATGCTAGAAGCTCTTATCTTTAGCCTAGAAACAGAAAACATCAGATTCATGATGCCAACATTCGGTCTTTGATTCAGCCATGCCTGAAATTGATTTACTTTTCTGTTACATGAGCCAAAAATTTCCCTTTTTTACTAGAGCCCATTTGATTTGGATTGTGTGTGTATGTGTGTGTGTGTGTGTGTGTGTGTGGCTCACAACCAGAATCATGGCCGATAGACATGAATAAGGCTCTTGCCACGTGAAAAAGATTGAGAAAGGAGGCATTCAAGATGGAGCACAGCATTTACAGAGGCCTGGAGGTATGAGATAGAATGGCTGATGCAAGCTGTGCTATAGTGTGCACGATAGTGCTGGAAGCAGATTGAAGTCAGGCAAAGGAGTCTGAATTCAGTCTGAGCACTTGGGAGTCTATAGTCAGTGGGAGCCGTTGAATGTTCTTGATCAGGGGAGTTCCACGCTCAGAACTGTCACGCGTAGATGAATGAATGTATGTAAGATAAGTGCAGGTGAGGAGACTGAACCTCAGAGAGGGCGGCCACACAGTTGTCCCTAATGAAGTCTGGATTCAATCGCGGTATGAACAAGTCGGGCGTCTTCGAACTACAACTTCCGGCATGCAACGCGAGCGTCCCCTAGTACCTCGGGATGGGCCCCAGATTTAAGCCTGATGATTGGTTGCACAAGCTGCTTATCAGACCAGAGTCGGGCTCTGATTGGTCGAGTTTCCACAAAGTGTCCTGAGCCCGGGTCCGCGCACCGAGCTCCCACGGGCGACATGGTAAGCAGGCATCTGGAAGCATGGGGTGCCGAGGTGCCCAGGGTCCCGCCGAGGGGGTCCAAGAAGACACCGAAGGGTTGGGGGGTCCCTTTGTGGAGATTGGGGACTCTGAGAGACTTGGGTCGTGCAGAGGGCCTTGTGTTCCTCTCTGGAGTCAGCTTCTCTCTGCGGGACCTATGAGGGGGTCGTGGGTCGTGCCAAGATGAATGGAAGCCCCTGAGCGTTCTAGGGGGCCTACCTTCTAAGGACCTGGGGTCCCGCCGAGGGATTGTGGTGCCGCCCACGGGACTGGGGATCCGTACACGTTCCGGGCCCCGCGAGGGCGGTTTGGGATCCCGCTGAGGCCCACTCTGGGCACTGCAGAAGCGTGAGGGTCGCGCCGACGGGTCCCTCGAGGGTTCCTGCGGGTAGCCGGGTGTGCGGAAGGGCCAGGGAGAGCCCTGAGAGGAGGGGACCAGGCTGAGGGGATCTGGTGGCCTCGGGGCGGGCAGGGGTCCCAGAAGTGGAGACAGACAGCACAGTTGGAATCCTCAGATCTCACGCGGCTCCGTGTTCAAACCACTGAGTTTGTTCTTCAGACTTAGCTTGGGCCAGGCTGGTGCGCGGCAGGGGTGGAGACCCCCAGTCCCCAGGTTCGGACTGGGCAGAGGGAGAGACAGAGGCTTGAGGGGCCGGGAAGGCGACCTGACCCTGCCGGGGCGGGGGTAGGGGTGTCCCCGAGCACGAATGTTGGAGGTGGGCCTAAAGTGAGAGCATTGCTGGAGTGGGTGCTTGAAAGTGGGCGTCGTTCGAGGCCGGATGCAGGACGCTGTGGGTGGTGAGGGGGAGGGCTCTCGGAACGGGATGGAGGAAAGATCCAGGGAAAGGCCCTGAGCAGGGGAAGGAGCAGGCGGATAGGAAGCTCTTGAAGATCTATGGAGACCAGCAAAGCGTGGACCCCGAGACCGGATGCTGCTGGGGGCGGGACGTGAGAAATTACCCTGGACAGACCTCGAAGGCTTTAGATGGATGAAACATCTTCCCAGCCCTCTGTCCGTCCTTTTTGTCCTAGGTGCCGGGACCGCGGTTCGAACCGCGGGCCCCTTCCCTGAGAGGTGTCTGAGGGTGATAGGGTCAGCGATGGAGAGCCTGGAGGTCTGGGAGGACCTCTGATATTCGAGTGGTTGGACGCAGGGAGGGCCGGGGAGAGAGCTGGGTAGTGAGGTGGGGTGGTTGAGGTCGGCCTGCCGGGCCTTGCAAGCTGTGGAGAGGAGTTGTAGGTTGACTATGAGACTGGGAAGGGTCTGGAACCACCCGGAGGAGCAAAGTTGTGTGTCGCCCACAGTGATGGGCGGGTGCTGGGCTCCTGGGTAGGGCCTGGGGAGGCATGGGTCTGCAAACTTGGCAGAGAGGTCCAGCTGGAGGTGCTGCTGTGTTAGGGTCATGCTGGGCCTGGTCAGCCCCAGCAGGGGATGCAGTCACAGGAGAGAGGCCGCAGAGGGAGGAGAAAAGCAGGTAGGGGTGCCCTGAGGCTCTGAGGTTCGAAGATCTCTGAAGTTTGGATGGTGCTGGTAAGAGATG